TGACCTCCTTTCCCATCACAGTGGCTGGATGACACTTAGAAAGAACTGAATTCCCATTCAACATCAATAAAGACACTTTAAACAAAGGAACACGGTAACTAAAACACTGTTGCAAACAATTTATAACAAATAAAGGTCGTGAAAAACATATGACCCCCCATTTTTGGTCACATTACTCTATACAAATGCTATTATAATTTTTAAGGTTAGAAAGCTTACCAGTAAGGTAAATGAATAATATTTAAACACTTAGGGAACCAACTGAATTACCTATGTATTCTTATATGTAAAAAGAAGGAATTTCGAATGTCACCACTGCCATATTAACAAGTAGTAGGAAAACATTATTGCTAAATAAAAAAGCTATGTAGGACTAGCTACTGAACTTGAATAAAAAAAAGGAACCAAACAAGATGAGGATGGAAGTGGCCGTATCACTCAATCCATTGAAAACTTGGTGTTTAAATAAAATCCCAGCTTTCATTATTATACCTTTCCCTTAGTTAACTTTAGAATACTACTTGTATGACTATTTTACAATAGAGTAACATTTTACGATTAGAAATTCTACTTGTTTTGCCAGTAATGTAAGGATTTTATTCTCCGTGTAAAGTCTGGGCAGCTTAGTCTGCTATGTGATCATTAGCCAGATCAAGTGATATGTCCACTTCCATCCCTATCTTCTTTGGTTCCTTCTTTTTCTTCAAGTTCAGTAGCTAGTCCTACATAGCTTTTTTATTTAGCAATAATGTTTTTCCTAATATTTACGTATTTACTTTTTTTTTTATAAGATGGCATACCTGGGTTCTAAAGTGTATTGTAAAACTTTATAAATTTTGCATAGAATAACAATAAAATAGATAGTCAAAGTTAGTTTTGCTCTATAAAATGATGATAAAATTATAGGTACTGCTAGAAATAGATACTCACTAAGCCTGTTGAAGAAAGATGATGATGAACAAAAATAAGAAATATCATTTTAGCTATTCACTGGTTTTTAACTGGAATGCTCTAGATAGCTGAAAAGCAGCATAAACAATGAAGATAGAGCAACTATTCCATGTAGCTCTTCATATCTACTAGCTTCTGGTGACCTGTAGAGAAGAAATCCCAAATGACTTTTATATTGCTTTAATACCGGCGTACGTACCATCCCTACAAAGAGTGCTAGTGTACTCTCGGATATCGATGCAGGATCAAAATAAGAGTGATCTCTGCGTGTACTAAGACATAAGAGCAGGATTTTTTCTTTGATGTTTAGCTCACAAGCATTTAGTCACAATTTCAGCACACTTGAAATCTGGTGACGTTCACGAATCAATTAAAAACAAATCACGTGAAAGGGAAAACCTCACACTTTTGTCTTAATATACAATATCACAAATTGTCTAAACATGTGAATATAGAGGCACAACTATCACAGTTACAAGTACAGAGGAGATGAAGATTAAAAGGCCAAACACACAGAGAAGATGAAAAGGAAATTTCACCATGGAGGAGCTGAAAGAAATGAAAGGGCCACACATTAAGCATGTGAGCTGAAGAAAATAGAGGCTGCATAACACACTCACTATAGAGTAGATGAAGATTAAACACATCATAATCTCTCCATGGAGGAAAGGAAGAGGCCACACATTAAACATGGGAGCTGAAGAAAATAGAGGCTGCATAACACACTCACTATAGAGGAGATGAAGATTAAACACATCATAATCTCTCCATGGAGGAAAGGAAGAGGCCACACATTAAACATGGGAGCTGAAGAAAATAGAGGCCGCACGATACAGAAGAGGAAAATTCAGTCTCATCATAGAGGAGCTGACAAAAATGAAGATACCATATGCTTAGCATAGAGAAGACGAAGAGGCAACAAATCAGTCTTACCACAAAGGAGCTGAAGAAAACGCACCCACCACACTCTCATCATAGAGGTAAAAAAAATGCAGAAGTCACATACAATAAGCTCACAATAGAAGAGCTGATGAAAAATAGTTAGCCACACTACAGCATCTCACCAGACTAGAAACCCAGCTAAACTAAACATGACAGAAAATGATGAATGATGGTGAGGGTGTATAAACACAAATATGTACCAAAATCTCTCCTCCCACAATCACTACTCCATTATCCAAGAACAGAAATACCATTTTGAGAGACTGGATCAGTTTCATTTCGTCAAAACATTGTGATATAAAATATTAACAAGTCCACATTGTTTCTGTGTTACTGCAAACCCAACATACTGCATCCTCCCCTAAAACTGACCTTACATCAGCCATTATCCTTAACCTAAAAAACCAAACTGTCACCCTTACAATGACTATTATAATCATCACTGTCTTGAAGAGATGTCCTACCACTGAGTACATTAGGTGCCATGAAGATAACAGCAAAAATTCTTGTAATCTAGCAAAGATGTACTAATTAACACGACTTCAAAAATATTGAAAAACAAATATTACCTTTTCTAACTTAATGGATTTAAACAATATTAAAATTGGCTTTTAAAGCTTGCTTACATAAAAAAAATCTCAAAAGCATAATAACTCACATTTATGTTAAATCCTGTCTTCATGACACTGTTAATAACTAGGATTTCGTTTCTAATTTTAGTATGTTACATTCTGAATAAATTTGATAAATGTATTGGACTTTTTTCTTAAGTTAAGAAAACAATTTAATTAAGAATAATTTTGTGGAATTGACTTCACAAAACTTGTGATGCTTTAAAGTATAGGGGTAAGTTGTACCATGTTAAATATACCATTCCTCAAAACAAGTAAATGAATTGGTGAAGACCGAAAATAATTGAATTTTTTCATTTTAAATGCAGAAAAAGATGTTTGCTGCAGCTTTTTTATAAATTGAGTTAAGTTGTTTGAATGATTAACAACTTGGAGACTGTTTCTTAAACAAACAAAAAGTTTACAAATCACTGTAAACTAACATGTTTATAGGTTTAAAAAAAGGAATATATTAAGTTAAGCTACACAATGGGCTATCTGTGCTCTGCCCACCACGGGTATCAAAACTCGGTTTCTAGCATCGTAAATCTGCAGATATATGGCTGTGCCACTGGGGGGGCAAAAGGAACAGAGGAAGTTTAATACGAAAACTGTTTTTGATATTACAAGTTACGAAAAATTATTAAAATATCTGGGAACAATGATGAAACTCTAAACTAGTAGAAGCTACAAATGTACAAACTTCTGATCAACAGAGAAGATGGTGTCTGTCCCCACACACACACACACACACACACAGAGAAAACAAAAACGTTTAAACATCGGCTAAAAAGTTAATGGTAATGTTACTATTTCAGACCACTGAGCACGTGGACATCCACAGAATTTTCTCTGGGAGGGTGTAAATCAATACTATATACATACTGAATGAATAAAGAAAGAAATATGTTTCTCATCTTCCTGGGGGATAAGTCCCCATGACCATGCCAATTAGTAGGAATAAACCACTTATTACTGCATGTACATTTTTATAATATTGAGTCACACCCTTATAATTTTTAGACCAAAAGCATGTAAAAAATAGTATTTTTACATTTATGTTTTATCAGTCAAAACAGTTTTTTTTTATTAGTTTACCAACTAATATGTTCTCCACTCCAACGATTAGTTTTCACGATAATACACACTGTAGAATTCACGGTTTTTGTTCCATCATACACATAAAAGGCCATAACTTTTTATAGTAAGATGAGAAAGAAATACATATTATTATTATTAACAATAGTAAAACATCTTTAAGCAAAATAACATTCTATTAACACAGTTAGCTTTACAGTTTTTCATATTTTGAAAAATACATTCTCACAAGTATCATACGTTTAAGTTTACTTGTAAACCTTAAATAACCAAGCTTTAATGATTGATTTGAACAAGCAATTTGACATTTATCAGG